GGTGTGTGCATGGTGTGTGCATGTGTGTGTGTGGGGGTGTGTGTGTGTGTGTGTGTGTGTGTGTGTGTGCGTGTGTGTGCGTGTGTGTGTGTGTTGTTTTTAAGGACCCCAGATTCTCTCTCTCATTCCTATCACTAGCCATCCATAAAAGTATAGATAGGCAATATAATAGAAAATGCAAGGTTGGCCACGTTTGTGTGGTACAGCGCCAAGTGCCCACACACCAGTCTGCCGCCAAAGCAGCACACTTGCACATATACATATGTATACATATATCGGCAAACAGATATATTTCAAACCATAAGGGGATGGAGGGCAGAAAGCAACTTACCTAAGACAGAAGACTACTCCAGCAAGGCACCGACCCGACCCCCTCAAAGGTCCAAAAAAACTTGGAGAGCCTTCCTCATCGGCCCACTAAACCAAAAACTCATTTATCAAAAACAAACAAATATAACAGCATTGGCATTCCCGACATTCATCTCAAACTACACACTTGCGTCACCGCCAAAGAGGACGAAGAAGATAAGAGAACTTACCTGAGACAGAAGACTCCTCCAGCAAGAACGCACCGACCCCCCCTGCTAAGGGTCCAAAAAAACTGGGAAAGCCTTCCACACGGGCCCACAAAACATACATTTYCCCCCAAAGAGAACTCGTGGCCACCCGTAAACATCCAAACAGCCCATGCTCTAAAGYAAGGCAARRAATTAGRCCGTGTATAATCAACAAAACCAACAAGACATTGTGTGTGTGTTGAAATAATCAGAACCCCTAAGCGCAGCAAGCAGTGTAACAGGGCATGCATACACGATTGCCTAAGAAGAAAGACCACAACACCTCTGCACAGAACAATCCATACAACAGGTGAAATCAAAGCACCCATAATTGGGGTGAAACCATGGACAGGAAGTGAAGAAGCAGCAGGGCAACAAGACAACAAGGCAGACAACAGACCAAGTAACAAAAAATACAAAGCCAGTTCAGAAGGAGAAGGATGTCAAATACTGAAGGGGGAGAATAAGGGATAAGGGACACCAATTAAAGCGTCAGGGGAGGAAGCAGGGTTTAGGG